ATTTTCTATTTGTGAACATGTTTTTTAACTTAGTCAAATGTTATCGGTTATACTCAACGAAAGCTAAAAAAGAACTTGTTATCATTATATGACACTAGTGGTACAACTTTTAAAAAAATTATACTGTTATAGATTGAGAGATAAATATTTGATCTGTTCAATTATTTAAATTCTTTTACCATTTCATACGATGTAAATTGACCATTATGATTATATGTTTGTATCACTTTCGAAACTATTAATGAAGAATTTTTAATTTTGTATTTATTAACGATTTTATATTTTTAATATTATACTGTTTAATTCATTAAATATATATTTAAAACAAATTTATTAACATAATTTCTACGATTATATAACCGTCAATTGTTATTTAATGGACGATATATTAATTGAAGGAATATTATAATTAATTAATTCATATTTAATTCAAAAAGAAAAATAGAGATTTTATTTAAAAATTATATTTTATTTTCTCATAATAATTATTAAAAAATAACACCTTTATTAATTTGAAATATTTTAAAGCAATGTATTTTGAGTGAAGTTATTATTAGGAATTATAAAAATCTCTTGAAATCGAACTTTATTATATCCATAATTTTAAGTAAAACAATTACATGAAATTTTGAATGTAAGTAAAACACAATTAAGTTATTGTATATTAATATTTTATACTGTATTAATTAAATAATCGTCTGAAAACTAGTTATAATATAAACTATGTATATAATAGAGAATAAAGACTTGATGAAATAGAGTAGTAACATATAGTATTTATACTGAATATAGTTATGCATATTTGAGTTCAAAGTGTAATAGACAACATTAATAAATAATAAATAAAAAAGAAAGTTGTACAACAAAGCGATGAGTAAAAAGAAAAAAAAATAGAAAGGTGGATGGAAAGAATTGATATCTGATGATCGGTTAAGAGAGTGAAAAAAATCAGAGGAGTCCATCAGTTTAAAAAGTAGCGGTAGGTTGGATGTTATAGCCAGCTAAGGACCATTTCATGTTAACCGTTCTTTTGCATTTCAGTTTTTATTTTCTTTTTGTCGCTAAAAAGTTTTTTTTCCATATACATGATAGAAACATGGCTCCACCTTCCACTTTCCTTTTACAGGATCATTTTATTAAACGCATACACATGCCTTCTCTTTCTCATTATGCATTTCATATCAAATTTTATCGTTGTATATTATTCTATATATATTATGACATAATATAGTGATATATTATAATATCTTTAACATGCACTATCTATGTCTATAAATATTCATTCTTTATTTGTTGTATTATTGTGCATATGGAATTATGATATTATTCTCTTCTTACTTTTAATTTCTCGTATATTGCAACGATCAAAACCTTATAAAAATAACCCAAAAAGAAAATAATCTTAAAATAGATATCAACAATACAAAGATAGTTCGAGAATTGATAAAAGTATTAAGAGATGAGCGAGGAAATGATTGAGATATAAAAAGAGGGATGCGATTTTACACAGGAAGATAATATTATTTAAAATATATTTTGTGTAATATAATGTGCACAAATGAAAAATAAAGAACAATAATCTCTTTTAATATTTGCTTAATTACGAATTGTAAATATAATGTAATTTCGTTTTTATAAGTTTCTGTTTTTATAAAAAATTAATGTAAAAATTTGAAATCAGATAATGTTCATCATATTTTATATTAAACCTTAAATCAATAAATGAATCATTTATAATTTATGTTTAAATTTATATGGTTGATACTAAATCTTATTTAATAACTTTATTGCTTTTAATTATATAATATAATTTTATTTTTAATTGAAATAATAACTGAATTTATAAAATAACATTAAATTTAAAGTTGTAATGTTTTAAGAAGAAAATATTTGTGTACTGAATTCATTATCATATGTAACAATATTTTTCGAATACAATAGTTTTCCCTATTCAAGCTTGTGAAAAACGTATATTCTTAAAGTGCATTGTGATAAAAATCAATGTGTTGTACTAATACAGTATTATGATCATCTATTGATAATTTGTTTTTTTATTTATAATACAATATATATATATATATATATATATATTATGTACGTATTACGAATATGGTATGTACGTATTATATATGAAATATTCTTATTAAAAATGATTTCTTTCATATTATTTGTAAATATTATGGTGACATGAATTATTATTTTTAAATAACATTTTAATATTTGAATAAATGCAAGGACGATTCATTGAGAATAAGAAAAACGTAAGAACAGACAAATAAATGAAGAGGAAGAAAGAAGTTATATTACGGGTTGATGTTTTAGATTCAATGTATTTGTAGCAAGGAAACAGCTAATCGAAAATATCCCAATGGCGCCAACATTCTGCCCTTGAAAGGTCCCTTTGTAGCTTTGAAATACCATAGAAGGATCACATTTATATCATGCCTATACTATCGGATTCTCTTTTTTAATTTGATTTTTTTTTTAAATTATTCAGAAAATTTTTAATTTTTGTTTTATTATTATATAATGGATGATAAATTTACATACGTATATTAAAGTTTTAAAAAGTTACATATCCTAATAAAGATAAAGATAAATATTATAAAAAATATGCATATGCATTCGAGTATTTGTGTTAACATTATTTATTTACTAAAATAAGTTTTTTCATAATTCAAACATTTATAATTATTAAACATAAAAACTTAATAATAAATAATAAATAAAAATTTTTTTATATTGATTGATCATCTCGCATGGAATCTTTTGTATAATCTGTTCGTACTTTATAAACTTGTATTATGTTTTTTTAAATCATTGAAGATGAACGACTTGAGTTCATAATAATAAATACTAAAATTACCTCAATTACTAAAATTACTGATATAAGCGTTGAATGAAGTTCACCACGATATTTTGTTATTGAAAACCCGAAGAATTATCTGCATATTTTTCTATAGAGGTAGATAAATAGGTAGATTCATGTAGACAAGACCTTTTTCAATTTGCATGAATCCTAAACTAAGTTGTAGATAATGTCAATATGTACTATTACACTACTATTACATTACTATTTACAATTGTAAGGTAAAGTATTCCTTTGTTTGAATATTGGAAGGGCTTTTAGTCTCTCCATCATACGATACATTTACGCCAAGTAATATTACGAACTGCTTATAACAAATACATAAGACATGTAACTTATAAATATGAATTAAAAACATATATTTGGTGACATTGCTTGATTAGTATTTTTGAAAATGCATTTGCTAGTAATTTTGCGAACAATTATCTTATAAAATTCAGACGTTTTGCATGATTTGAAGGGTTCTTTTTAATTTAATTTTGTGTTCAAAAGCATTCATTAGGATTTTTTATTTATATAAATGATAAAAAAGTAAAAATGTTTTATTAATAGTTATATGAAAAACAATTCCTGATTAAAAGTACTTTATTGTATCTGTGTTAAGATTTAGAGAAAAAAACGACAGTTCATATATATTCTTTGCTTTTGGTTACAGCACTGCATTGTTACATTGTTTATGTATAGACAAATGAAAAGTATGTTTCATTCTACATTTTTCAGTAATACATTGTTAAGTGGGGTTTATGCGCATGCTTTTCTTGGAGTGTGATTTCTAGTAGTTTAGTATATTACAAAATTATTATATTTTCTTCATAATTTTTAATTAATGATAATTGCAAATGATTGGCATTTTATCCTGTATTAGTTAATATTTTCTCATGGAATGCAATATTCAAAATCGATAATTTATCCTCGTGAGTGAGATTCATTGACAATTATTTTCAATTCATTGACGCTTCCGTTAATTAGCCTGTATGTAACGTGGTTTTATAAAACTGGTGTTTCATAAGGTATTCTAGTAAAATTACTGTAAATAATATTACTATTACAGTGTAGTATCTTAGTTTATATAATAATTATATTGCAGTTATTTACGAAGTTTTTTTTTTAGTTTTTGTTAATTGAAGTTTTTAATAACAGGTATTATATAAATTAATTTCAGGTATATAACTTTTCAGTATATTTTTCAAATGTTTGAAAAGTATTGTACTTTAAATCTGATTAAAGTGATGATATGAAATTAATGAAATATTTACTTGTTTTTGTTCTAATAATTATTCTTTAATTATATACTGTAAATTAAAGCCTTATATTTATGAGTAGTTCTATATAAATAATATTAGAATTTATAATTCGTATTTTAAAGAATCTTTAGTGATTTAAATATTTAGATTCAATTAAAAACTTTTTAATATTTAGACTCAATATTCACAAAATAACAATAAATACGTATGTCAATATTAATTAATCTATTTAAATCACATGAAATCATGAAAGTCTTTTTAATAAAATTTAGTGACCGCGAATGTATAGATTAATAAATCATAAATAAAGAATAGATACATGAATTCATATTAATAAAAAGTAATTGTGACTAATTATAATTATTATGAAAAATGCTAAGAATAAATATTATATAAAAATTATTATAAAAAATTCGTTATTTAAAAATCAGTAAATGATTTTTAAAAAATTTGCTATCGTTTACTTGTTGAAATAAAAGAGGCAATGAGAAAATTTGTTGGTTGAAGTCCTAAATACATAAAAAACAATACTAATATTTTTGTAATTTACATTACCGTAATTTTATGCATGCAACTAAACACTCATTTAAATTTCGTGAACTGTATACTTAAAAGTTTTTATTATTCAAGTCGATTCAGATACGAATATCATTGCTCAAAATATTTAAAATTTACTTCATATAAATGTATTAAGATGGATTTAAAAAAAATTATACTACAGAAATTATTTGAATTTGTAAAAATTGCTAGTAAAAATAATGTCTTTACATTGCATTTACTATATTTTAAAAAGTAAATACACTTCATTTTTTAAATTTATAACGTTTACCGAAATTCTCAAATTCTCAAACATACTTACCTTAGAATCTTGCGAATATAAGAGCGTCCATCTTTTTTCCCCTTCCATGTATCACAAAAGAATTCAGGACAAAGCTTATTACATTTGATTTTGATCTTTTCATCAGTTAAAATTGAACCTCGTAAAGAAGAAGTTCTACTACTAATTACAATTCCTAATTAACGAGTTCAAGTATTTTATCTATTATTTTCTTTAAATTTAAACAAAATGACAAGTCACAATCACGAGATAGCGAATACAAAAATTGTGATTTCTGGCATCTCTGGACGTTTTCCAAATTCAGATAATTTTAACGAATTGCAATATAATCTACTGAATAGTATCGACTGCACTACAGTTGATCACAAAACATTTAATTATGGTAATATCTTATGTATTTAAACTCAAAGAAAGTAACTAAAAATTTTAATATTTTCGTCATCTATCAATTATGTGTCTGTTTTTTATAAAATACTAATTTTTTTTACCAATTAATAATGCATAGATAATCTAAATGTGAAACATTATAAGTAATCGAAAATAATAGTTATTAAATTTCTAAACTTAATATTTTAGAAATATATTTCCAATCCAGAAAAGCAGAATGTATAATATAAAATAAGTGCTTATATCTAATTTTCCTTTTATATAATTTGTAATTAATGAACTTATTTTTAATTTGTAATTAAATTTGTAATTAAAACTTGTAATTAATGAACTTTCAATTATGCAACTTTTTTGAATATAAATAAAACTATAGAATTAAAGGTTGAGATTTCTATAATAAACAGTTTGGAAAATATGAATTTCCGAACTATAAATAAATTTAATGAATTAAAATATAATTATCATTCTTCTCTATAAGATTTGAAATATAAATAATATTGGTTTAATTTGAACATAAAGTTTTTAAATGTAGGTTTTCATTATAAAAATATGATGTTTTATTATTTAAAAACTTTTATATAAAAGTTGGTAATTTTAGTCCAAATATACATATCTAGAAAGATATCAAAATGTATTTGTCCATATTTATATTTTAGATAAAATAATATGATACATTAATATGATACATTGTGTTAATAGGTAGAGAACAATTGTCAATTGTATTCAAACATAAGTTGAGTTATTTTATTTATATATTATTATGGTTACTGAAATATCTTCAGGTTCGTTTAATATACATAATTTCACATATACTTATGTAAGTTATCGCAGTATATATATATATATATATATATATATATATATATATAAATTTATTCATTAATTTATAAACCTTAATTATTTCCAATTCAATAGTTTTAAAAATAAAATATTTTATTTAACAATATATTGATACGTAATATATAATTCTATATTTCAAGTTTGAATTGTAACGAAAACTTATTATGAATAATTTATTTTTAATAAAGGATTTTTATCAAAGTCTTTTAAAATTGAAGTACATATAATTTATGGAACTTCTCATAGTTATATTAATTGTCTTGTATTTTAGTAGATATAATAGCAAACGTTACATATGTAAAATATATTTTGTAGAAAAACATAGTAATTTATATGTAATAAACTATTATTTTATACAGAAACATTAATTTTAATATGTCAATAAAAATAAACTATAAACTAATGACCAGAAAGGCGGTTATTTAATATTTATCTAGTTTATTATTAATTTTGCATTTACTACTGAGGATATACATATTTTGTAATATACTTTGACTATAATAGATTTTATAATTTTATAATTATAATTCGAAGATTTATATTTTATAATTTTAATTTATTTGTTGTTCAAGTAGAGTTGTAGAAATTTGTTTAAAAAGTAAATATTTTTATATAAAATTAACAATTATGTACTACATGATTAAAAAAATTTTTTCTTTCAATTATATAGTTAACATAGATTTAAAACATATAAAACATAGATTAAAAAAAAATATAGATATATAAGAATCATAAATAATTTATTTTTCATATTTTAATTATTGTACAATTTTTACATTGATATAATAAAATATTACCTTATTGTACTTCCTAAAGCATAAATGTAGATAAATCTTAATAAATACATTAAAACACTGCCTTTGTGTTAATAAATATATTGAAAATTTAAATAATTTCATATATGAAAATGAATTAAGTTTCACAAATTTGAGAGGCAAATCACAAATAAAAATTAATTTTCTAAAATGGCAATTAAAATATTACAAAATCAGCGCAAAATTCTAATTTAAACAAATAAAAATTTCTAGTTTATTGTTTTATTTAATTAATAATGTAAAGTGATATTCAATATTGATTTTATTTCTTTACATATTGAAAAATTATTTATAATAACTTAAAAATATGTAATTATGAATAAATTCTAAATATTAAAAAAATGTATAATTTCAATACATTTCATAATAATTTTATAAATATTCTTTAAAATAAGCGCTTCCAACCGAAATATAAATTTCTATGCATTTCTTTCAACCAATCGTACACTAGTAGCTGGAAAATGAATCATATTAATTCATAAAGACGTTATAGTATTTTATTTTTTATATTATCAAATTATATATATCATGTTACACTTTATTGAAAAGCAACCGGTATTATTGATTTAATCATATAAAAGAATCTTAAATTTTTTTTGATTGATTAAATTGAAATTGATTTAGTTGATTATTAACTTAACGTATAAAGAATTTAATAATTAAAAAAATCTAATATCGAATTATGATAATTTTATCATTATTTGAGCAAACGAAATATATTAGATAATAATAATATTTGCTAAAATAAAAAATCTTTTTAATGCTAGTGACATATTTCAATTATGTAAATTATAAAGAAATTTCTTTGTGCAAAGGTTATCCATTGACATGTTTTTATTTCTTTTATCTATTTTTATTATTGTATTTTTATATGATTATTAATAATAATAGGATTCATAATATAACAATTATTTTATACAACAAAATATTTTAATTATATGAATACTTTAGACAAAATGGAAACTATAAATTAAAATTAAATTTTGAAAAGAATTTGTATATTAAATTTCATTTTCTTATATTTTATTGTTTTGTATATATATATATATATATATATATATATAGTATATATATAATTTGTACAAACAGCAGGATACTTGAAATTATATCTTCTTTAAATAATATATTTTGATATAATTTGTTCTATATATAAAGAAATTTTATAGAATATTTTATTAATTTAAATATTTAATTAATTAGCGGATAGCACTAAATGCAAATAAAAATTAAAAATATTGAATTGTTAAAATATTAAAAAATAATAAAAATTGTGAAAGTTAAAAAACAGTAGTGAATACATATAATATTTAGTATTTATATGTTAATATACGAAATAATATCTATTGTTTATTTTTTAAAATAACAGTTTTTAATTTTCATTATGACATAACTTATACAATAATCATATTATATAACTAATTGAAATAATCGTATTTAAATAAAATATTTTATATATTGAAATATATTTTTAAAAAATTTGAATACTGACTAAAATGGTCAAATTTATTTTAATTAATTTAAAATAATTTATAAATGTATATATATTAGATTCACCAAATATTCCTACGAGAATTGGAAAATGCAGTGATTTTCACAAATTTGATAACATTTTTTTTGGAATTCATGATAAGTTAAGTAATATTATGGATCCTTTATCAAGAATATTATTAGAACATAGTTTCGAAGCAATAATGGATGCTGGTATTAATCCTCGAAGTCTGAAAGGCCAAAAAATCGGTGTCTTTATAGGTACGAATATTTCAGAAACAGACAAAAATTGGTTTATTTGCAAACAAAAGGTAAATATTTAATTATTTCTTTATATAATTAATTATACTATGAATAATTAAAATACTCATAGGTGGTTTTACATATTTGAAGTAAAAGTGAAAGTATGTTGTGAGCATGTCTAGGTATATTTGGGGCATTATTTTATAGATCAATAGTAACTTTATAATTAGTGTATTGGATCATACGGCATAATTAAAGTAATTATCGATAGTATATATATTCCATGATAATGTAAGCGCCGATAATTTAATAGTTCAAAAACTTCTTTTTGCAAATTTGTTGATCATGGACAAGGATTTTGTCATATAATTCACTTTTAAGAAGCCAATATGTATATTTCTTTTATTAATCTCTATAATTTAATATTCGTATAAAGTTTAAAATAATATTAAAGAATTTTGAAAAATATAAAAAATATAAAAACAATAACTGACACGAGGAAATGAAATAATTGAAAACAATAACATTTTATGATTATAGTTAAAGCGGATATTCAATTACATAATTCAATTGAGTGCAAGAAGGACTTACGTTTTTACTATAAATTATTGTATAACTATGCACCTGTAGTTTTCGTGTTATGTTAGGTTTAAAATTATTATCTAATATAATTAAAAACTATTATGCATAATATAATATACAGACATATAATTACATATTTGTCATTAATTTATTAATACAATGTTGGTAATGTACTTTAGACTGAAACCGAGATTCGTAATTCAAAAGTAAATTTGCAAATACTTGTTATAGTAATAATTGTATTATATTATAATATATATTACTATATTATAGTAATTATATAATATAATTATTCATATTCTTCATCAACATATACATTTTTTCAAAATATATATTACTGCTGTTTATAAAATAAATGTTTTTTTTTATCATAGTTACATTTATTTATATAAAGAGTTAGAAAAAATTGTTCGTAAAAACGCTAGAATATAATGTAATACACATTGAAAATATCAAGCTGCTTGTGAACCAGAACACTTGTATTATAATGATCGTTAATTCTTCCTTAAAATTCATTACATGCAGAAAAAATCGTCTAAACAGAGATATCTTAATTTTTAATTTTACAGTGATACTTTTGTATTTCCTGAATGATGTAATTATAAAATGATTGAATTACTTACTTTAGAAATTATTTTCTTATATTGTAGAAAATAAAAAATTATCGATATGTAACCGGGATTATTTAAAAATATATTTGCATTACTATTTTTTAGTATTTATAGTTTATGAAATATTTTACGAATATTTCAATTATAAATAAAATAAAGTTTTAGGAATGTATAGAATACAAAAATTAATTATTTAATTTTACAGCGAAATAACTTCTCAATCATCGGATGCAGCAAAGCGATGATACCAAATCGTATATCTTTCTTTTTGGGTATTGTTGGGCACAGTATTCATATAGATAATGCCTGTATCAGTTCTGCTTCGGCTCTTGAATTTGCCTATCGCTATATGAAAGAGGGTATTTGTGATGCAGCTATTGTTGGCGGTAGTATAGTAACTCTACATCCACACTTATCTTATCATTTTAATAAGATAGGTAAGATTATAAAATTATTACATTTAAAAATATTATATTAGAATCTACCTTTATTTTAATATTTCTATATTTAATTAATTAAATTACATTAATTTAGTTAAAAATGATATTTCAATAATTACTTACAAATAACGCTTCTTAGCTCAAAAATCACAAATATAAATTAATTATAAATAATTCATAACGAGGTGTAACAGTTTTAATCACTGATTGTTAGAGCTTTTAAGTGGTTAGAAAGTTTGTCGCGAAAACTTTGTATTATGTAAGGCATATGAAAACGCAAATATGTATATAGGTAGAAGACTTTCTAGAAAGCGAATCGAAAAATAAAGATATAGGATACTATCAAGAGAATAAATAAAAAAAGAATAAAGAGAGTAAATAAAGCGTGAGTGATATTAATATGAAGAATTTAGTGCATGTTTTTTTCTATTTGCAATATGTATAGGATAATTAATAAAATTCTAATTTTTCAATTTTTCATTTGTGAAGAACGTTTCTTTACATGTTACGTGCATATCAATGTTAGCAAATAATATATGGCATACTAAACATCATGTTCAGATTAAGCTGAAAAAGTCTTTTATAAATCCATATGAATTCAAATAATACTACTTTCCTTGTGTTTCATATCAATGAATACTATAGTTTTTATAAATCATTTGTAATGTTTTAATAAAAATTATATCAATGCGAACATATAGGTTAAAAGTAGATTTTTCTCTTTTTCTTAGATTGCATCTCTATAAGAATTTAAATAATAGAACGAAGTTTGTCAGAAGTTTATCATTATCTAAATTATTTTAAATATTAAGCATCTGTTAAAAAAGATTTAATATCATAAAAAATAATAATGCAATCTTAATAATAATGTCTCATATAAAAATTATCGAAGAAAAGTTGTACAATAATTGTTCTGTTTGCTTAAATTATGATCTAACATACAATCAATTTCATGCAATCATATGAATTATGAATTTTCCGTAAATAAGAATCTATTAAAGACATTTCTAAATTTTCATTATTTTTTTACATTTTATAAATATTATATTGATATAATTTTGTGGTTTATATAAATAGTAATAAAATATTAATAGTAATAATATTAATAGTAATAAAATTAAAAAACGGGAGTTCTTAAATTTATTTAATTAAATGCAGATATAAACAAAATATTGCTTTCCAAAAAGAGATTATTTTTTACAAATTGTATCTTAAATTTGATTTAGATTATATATACGTAATATATGATAGAGAAGTGTTTGATTATATTTCTAAAATATATTATGTTAACTCTAAATATACATGTAAAATTTATATTGTTTGATTTTTAAAATGAAGTGACGATCGTTTATAATATAGTTTCAATAATATCGTTTGCAATTTAAGTTATCGAGTATTTATTTGTAAAAAGTATGATTAGAATTTAAATCGTACTTCCATATTATCAAAAAATATTTTTAATTTTCTGACTTGATCTACTGAAATGATATAGTATGTAGGAGTGAAATCGTATTTACTACGTTATAAATAACAGCTTTTATTTTTTAGCTTTATATTTTAACATCTTTTATAAAGCATATAATTTGAAACTCTTTCTAATCGCTTTCTCATTAGTTTATAGATATGAAAGAAATTGTACAGTGTAATGACGTTATTTTAATGCTGTCATCTAAATATAGATTAGGATTATAGAAGTGTATAAGTTAAACAAGAGTAGTAAACGTAGATAATTTATTATATTGGATATAGGAGAATAATAAAAGAAAAAGATAATTATCATAAAAATACGAAAAAATTAATAAATTTGAATTATATATATTTTAAATACCTTTATTAATATTAATTAAATGAATTTCTGCATTTATTATGCATACATAATTCGAATTTAAATAATTTAATTTGTCTGTTCTAACAATAGTGTACCACAGATCCATAAATGTTCTCCAAATAGTAACAAAATTCTTCAAAGTAGAAGCTATCACTTAATAGAAAAAATTACTTAATTTTTATCAAGAAATATATTAGTACGCATTTTTTAAATCGGTGGTTTTTGAAATTGTTTACGTAAAATAATAAAATAGTAAACAGTTGCATATAAATCATAAGTATTCTAACAAAGATTTGAATTTTTAAAATAAGTGTTAAGAAATTTAGTATCCCTTAAGAGAGAATATTCACAATGAGCAAAATTATGGATTTACCATATGAATATTATAAATTTCTAACATATGAATATTAGGAAAATTGCACTTTTATATTTTTGTGAACTGAAAAAATTGATTTGCGGTTTTGGTAACTTAAAATAATATTAGCGATAAAGATTTTTTTTAATATAAAGAAAATTAATGGTATTATTAAAGTCTAATACAAAAAAAAATAATATAAATGAATACAAATTGATTAAGTGATTTCGAAATGTAGATGCTGAACACCTGTAAAAACTTTTAGACATAGAAAATTTTTATGCTGGCAAATCCTTAGCTCTAATCTTATTTGTATAAACCTGTGATTTTTTCATGAATAACAGATTCCTTATGAAATGCAGCTACATTTTTTATTTCTTCAAATATCTATAAAATTGATATAAAAACTGATAAAAGCGAATATATAAATCTATCAAAATGAACAGAAATCAATAACAAAATCATTTCATTAGAAAGGAGATTAATGATTGATGATCAAAAAAATGCTGATGCAGATAAATGCGATTACTCTAAATATGTAAATTATTTTAAATAAAGTGTTAAAATGCCAAAGCGTAATGCTTCATATAGCTTAAAGTCGGTGAAAACGGACATAATTATTGAAGATAACAAAAATATTAAATGATTTTAAAGATTGAAATATTCTTAAATTTAGTATCGCTGTATGTATTTTAAATTAAACTTTTTAATTAATTTTGTACTTGATTTACACAATAATTTACATTATAATTTAAAATCTGTTTAGCAAATAAATTTTACAATTTACTATAACGGCTTTTCAGTTGGTATTTGTGTAAATTTTCTCTAGCTATAATATCAAGACAAATCTTATTCTCTTCAGTGTACTTAATATTTATAAATATAAAGGCAATTGTCATTCTTTACATAATTTAATAAGTGATTAGTTGCCTCTAAAAATAGAATTGTGAGGGTTTATTTCATAAAAATAATATTTATATTCATTCATTAAGACATTTTTGTTCAGATGAATATTATTTTTATCAATTCGATAAAAATATACAACTGAAATCTTTTTAGTTAGATTATCATATTATTCCAAGTTTACATAAATAGAAATCGTTATTTCATATTTCCATTATTAATTATAATTTCATAAAGCTTCATATTATTCCTGATTTTGTTAATATTATTATTAAATCAGTTTTCTAAATTTTTGTAAAAAATATTAATAACATAAATAATAATTAAAATAATTAATTTGATAATGTAAAAAATTTGAGTACTGTTATTTATGAATGAAAGTAGTGTCTTCTTTTTTTAACCATATAAAATTATTTTTTTATTTTATTCAACATTTAAGAAATTACAGGGTTTTTTTCTGATGATGGATTGACCAAGAGTTTTGACGATAATGCAAATGGTTGTACCCGAAGTGAAGCTGTATCAGTTCTCTTTATTCAAAGAGCGACTGATGCTAAGCGTATTTACCAGGAAATAATTAATATAAAAAGTTTACACGTTGATTGTACAGATAATAACTCTATTCTATATCCCACAACTGAATCTCAAATAAAAGTAATGACCGATATATTGAATGAAAGTAAATTATCTCCAAATAGTATTTCATTTATAGAAGCTAATGGAGTTGGTATTAAAAAAGTGGATGCAGATGAGTTAGCAGCTATTGATGCTGTGTATGGTACACGAAAAGAACCATTGCTTATTGGATCTATCAAATCAAATATTGGCAATACAATACCTGTAAATAGTATAACTTCGATTATAAAGGTGACTTCATAGTTTGTGATTTTATTATATTGATAATTAAGAATATAATATATATTTATATATTCCATATTCAAAATAAATTATTTTTTTTAAGATTATGATTATGTCGTGGAGAAAATTATTCACACTAAATAAATGAAATTATATTTGATGAATTTGATATACATAATTATTAATATTCATGAATCTACATTACATCATATTTTATTGTAAAATCAAATAAATTTAAGTTCTTGGGTAAATAAGTGTTAGCTTTAGAAACGATCGACATAGTTGTATAATTGAGACATAGTTGAATCATTTATCAATTTATCAATAATTAGAAATGTACAAACAATAAATGTGCATGTTATTCAATAATATCAATAAATCAAATTTTTTGAGAAAAAATTGATTAAAATATACATTTATTTTATTGCACTATTATATATATTCTTTCAAATTAATAATTTGTATTTATCTTGGGAAAAAAGAAAGTTTATAATTCCTTAACTTTTTTTAATAATAATAATTTCGTAAAGTATAATTAATACTTAACCATTTATATTAATTTTTTATTATAAACAGATAACACTTAAGTGTTTTTATCTTTCAAATGATTTTAATATTACTAATTTTATACGTAATATTTACGTAAAAAAATATTATATTTATAATCATTTATAATATTAAAATTAATTAATTTTTATACGGACAATACTTGTTGTAATAGATTATATACATTCTATATTAAATAATCATTATGAGATATTCTAAAATTATTATTTATAACTATAATAATGTATACTATTACAAATTAGATCACAAATACGAAAATTAGATGGAAAAAATATAATACAATAAATAATGAACATATTTTTTTATATAAAGGTTCCTTTTTTCATTGTAATGCTAAAAAAATTAAGTAGGTTTGTTGGATTAAATAAAAGTTAAATTTAAACGAATTGCTTTTAAAATAAAATATTAATAACAAGTAATATTAAAAGTAATATTTTGAACTTAAATTATTCGAATTAATTTACTTCATTTTTAATATATATAGTTATTTTTTCACCTTATAATTAAAATATATAAAATTATAACTTTATAAAATATTTTTTGTAATAATAAAACAATTTAATTAGAATTTTTTTACTAAGTATTATACTAATAACACATATTCAGAAAATAATACAATTTTAGAAATAAAAAGTTTACAAAATATTAAAAGAATTGTTTTATTTTAAATATAATAATGATTGAATATTTTAAGAAGAAAAATTAATATGATAAAAGAGATATAATTAAGTATAAATATTACATAATTTTTAGATAATAATAGCATCAGAGACTGGGCAAATCCCACCTAATTTGAACTATAAAACACCCAATTGCAATGCAAAATGTTTGAAAGATGGTAGGATTCGAATTTGTGCAGATTTGATTCCTTGGACTGGAGAATATTCGTCAGTTAATACTGCTTCTATAGCTGGAGGTTTTTCAAGTATTATTTTAAAAACACCTAATATTAAAAAAAAAAATAATGGAATTCCCGATGATGATTTATTGCGTCTTATTATAATCTCTGGTCGTAATGAAGAAGCTGTTAAAAAGATCTTGTGCTTTGTAAGAAATTTGTTTAATATTGATTGACATAATAGTTTTCTTTATACATTCAATTAATATTACATAAATTATATTATAATTTAAAGACAGTCGAATTAAAAAATTTATTATATTTATATATTGTTTTATATACTCTTATAATTTTTATACCTTTTGTACCCATATTTCTAGACATACACAATTTTACGTCAAATCGTTCGGTTGAAGTTCTTTAAATGAATAAATCTGATTTTATTTTTTATAATTTCAATATAATCTTAAAGAAATTAAATTCATATAATAGTAAAGATTTGTAGAATAACATAAGAAATATATATAATTGTTGAACTTATATTCGAGCTTAATTTGAACTTACATATCGTAAAATACTAACAGAATTTTTAAATTTATTTATAAGCGAAAGAATAGAAAACATAATCGCAAATTTATTTTATTTATATGGTTATATTAATTTATTTTTGTGATTATTCATTTTTTTTACGTGAGTGTTTAACTCTATTTAGAACAATACAATTAATATTGAAAAGCATCCTAAAAATTAACGAACTTAGAAGGCGTGTGTATATATTAAAAAGTAAAATGGGGACTGAGATTACTCAGAAAGATTTACTTTCAGTAATTATGTACGGTTTTTTTCATATTGAAGATGCTCTATCTCATGTGGTAATATAGATGAGTGGAAAGCGTTCATGTTGTATAATGCATTTTGATTGTTACAATTATTTGTGCTAAAGAAGGTAAATAGTTATTGCATAATTAGTATTTGACGTAATTTGTGATATAACAGGATATACGTCTGTATCCGACATGATGTGTAAGTTCAATAAGAACTGTACGAGCTGTATTAAGTACTTTATGAAGTACCACATTAACTTCTAGAACTTGTATACTATTATACATGGTTTGCATATTTATATATTAAAATACCACAACATTATAATAAAAACATTTTACATTAAGAAATTTATATTCCATATACATAAAATTTTATAGATATATTCTTTTATAGATATAGTTTATTGAATCAATTTATATTTATAGATAGAAAGTAGACCAGTAGATGTCGAATTCTTGCAATTATTATATGATATTCATAAAACAGAAATTGATGGAAATTTATATCGAGGATATTCTATTGTGCCTGCTAGAAGCTTTTTTTCACCACAATCTAGTAAACAAGAGATTATTTTTAATACTGGAGTGCGTAGAGAAGTTTGGTGGATATTCTCAGGAATGGGTTCACAATGGGCTGGAATGGGTTTGTATAAGAGAAATGTATTAGAATTTACATGATTACGATAATTAACTCATATATTGGATTTATTTATTGAAAACAATTTTTTGATTAATTATTTATGTATATTACTTTATTTTCTATATATAAAATTCAATATCATTTTCCCAAGGCGAAACACTATTAAAATTACCAATATTTGAAGCTGCCATAAAAAAATGTGATGCTGTGCTAAAACCGAAAGGTTATAATGTATACAAAATTATAACCGATAAGGATCCTAAAATTTTTGATGAAATTGTTCATTCATTTATTGGCATTGCTGCTATACAGGTAAATTTAGGCCTCTTGATCAAATAAAAATATGTATTTGAATCATGAAAATTTTTAAAATGATTTATATAATAAATATAATTTTGAAAACTAATAGGGAAATTTTATGAATTTGATCATCAATTATTAACCAATCATTGAGTAAGTACTGCAATAATTTATACAATAATTCGAAATAACACATTTCATATATTTTTCAATACATCTCTTTTCGCGTGAGTAATTATATATTCATTATATAAAAATGTATAGTAAACATTTTTTTTACGTAAACACCTACTATGGAATTACAGATAAAAGTAGATCCAATATTTTTGCAATAATTGTAGCTAAAAATTCTCTTAATTTTATTGAAATCAGAAAATCCATTTCTTTCAAAATAAGTAGTATTACACATTTATAGCAATAATTACTAATAATATTGGATTTCTTAAGATTAATGTGTTTTGTATATGTGTTATTTATTTCTATTTTTATTAATTAAGGTAAAAGTACATATATTTTTAAAATGGACTATATTGTTACTTAATTAATAATATAACATAAAATAAAAAAATTTATAAAAAATAATAAAATTTAATTTTTATTATAATATAGCTAATTTATTGAATATATTATAATATCATTATAATATAATATTCATTTATTATAATATTAACTGATTTAAAATACTTAAATTATTTGAATTTAATTAAAAATGTTTATATATTTTTTTATTCATGATACTGAATAAGCTGACAAGTTAAGCATTTAATATTTTATATTTATTTATTTATTAACAATTTTAAAAAATACCTTTAAACATTTAAATATAAAATTTTAAAACTTATTATTTATAAATAAAACACTGAAGTATAACCATATAAACAACAAATAAAATTTGTACAATTTTTATTATAGATTGTAAATTTTGTAAGTATTTTAATTAATAGAAAATAGAAAAATTTATTGTACATTACTAGTATTAAGTTAAAATCTGTTTAGCTTATACTTATTAATAGTAATTAATTAAGTCAGAATATTTTGTAAAAAAAATCCTTAAATTTTAAAATAATTTATTTAATTCATATACTTTATAAATTGACATGAATTAAATAGTATTAATATGGTCTCTTTAATAATAATATAAACATAATGTAATATATGTAATAATGTTTTAGATTGGCTTAGTGGATACACTTAAAGCAGTTGGTCTTGACCCAGACTACATAATAGGACACTCTGTTGGTGAGCTTGGATGTGCTTATGCTGATGGATGCTTTACTGCTGAGCAAATGATCCTTTCGGCTTTATCACGTGGTTTAGCTTCCATCGAAACAAAATTAGAACGAGGCTCAATGGCAGCAATTGGACTAGGGCATACTGAATTACAAAATTTGTGTCCTACTGATATTGATGTTGCCTGTCATAATGGACCTGAGAGCTCAACTATCAGTGGGCCTGCTGCATCTATGAAAAAATTTGTTGCTTCATTAACGGTAATGTAGCACTAATATAGTAAATAAGAAGTTTCATCATGGATTAATTGATATAATATTATACTTATGTGTGCACGAAAAAATCGTAATTAATTTGTAATTATGAATACATATGATAATTTATCTAAAATAGGATTTGGGGTCAAATTCATTATTGAACTTAATAAAATTACATATCTGACTCAATCAATACATTAGTAATAAATCTTTATTTCTTAATTTGAAATATTATTTTTATTACTTCTATCATTATTTTTTAATTTGTTTTAAAAGATTTATTTCTTTGCTTAGAATAAAAATGCGTGAAAATATTCTTTCGTTCCGAAAACCTTTAATTACATCAGTATTTACTAGCAATGTAACAAATTTTTGTATGGAATGGAAATATTGTAAAGATTTATGAAAATAAAAAATTTTTAAATAACGATTAAAAATGTAACGTAAATTTAATTTGATACTTATTTTATTAATGTTAGCATTAATAATATTAACAATATTAGTATTAATTTACTCATTTTATATACGTAAATGAAATATGGAAATATATAAAATAGAATATTTCTAAATCATAGATAAGAAAAATATTATATGTCGAAATATAAACAATATATATTATATTCATCAGTTTATATTTATAAGTTTATATTTCAATGTATATTATTATTTATATATGCGTATGAGTATACTTTTTTTTTTTAATAAAAATATATTTCTAAGATGACTAAATATGCGACAACTGGTATTACTCAAATTTATTACTACTCTTATATTTTTATTTATTTATTTTTTTTTTTGAAAGAAACAATTCTATTAGTTACAACAATTTTTAGGTTTTGTTGAAATCATTTTACACTCAATTATACCATTTTATTTTTGGTATTGGATAAATATGAATTTAATTTTGCTGTTATTGTTATTTGATATTGAAATGCCAACTATGAATTTTACTTAATTATTAGAAATAAATTAATAATTAAATATAGTGGAGAATTTGTAATGAAGATGCTAAATTAATTAAAAATTTTAAATAAAATATGAATTTACATATTAATACAAAATAATTTTCATATCAAAGTTGTTTAATAATTTATTAAGCAATAATGTCAGTAAAATTTTTTAGTTCAATAATTTTACTTTTAATTAATATATAATTATTTATTTATTCAAGTTATATGACAATTAATATAGAAAAAGCGTTGTTTGCATATACACTAAATTAAATATTAAATATGCATTCATAATTCGCCCATTAATATTACATAATGATATGACATGTGATAAGTAATAATTATAGCATCTAATATATTAAACAAAAATTTCTGTATTTAGTCAAACCAATTATTTATCACAAACAAATGATGAATTATTTTCGTATTTTTTATTAACATTATAGAAAAATTATGATGTTTTTATATGAAATAATAAGGAATTGTCAAACTAATTAATAAAATTGTACATTCTTAATTTTATGTTTACAAAATGTAAATTAAATATTGTTTAACATTTACCTTAATGTATTATAGAATTAATATTTAAAATTATTAATTTTTTTAATTATTTTAGTTTAAAATTTTTATTTTTAAATAGAAAACTTTTATTGATAATAGAAGATTTCAATTTAATTGAATTATCATTAAATCAAGCAATTTTTTATTTTCTACTATCAATAACATTCATGAATAGAATATAACTTTCTGTAATAATTTCAAAGGCTAAAGGTATCTTCGCTAAGGAAGTTCCATGCAGTAATATTGCTTATCACAGTCGCTACATTGCAACAGCTGGATCTAAACTATTAGAACGTTTGCAAAAGGTAATTCCGAAGCCAAATCTTCGCAGTTCCAAATGGTTGAGTACATCAGTACCTCGCGAAGAATGGAATACCATAAAGGCATGTTATTCTTCTGCTGAATATCACACAAATAATTTATTAAGTCCAGTACTATTCGATGAAATATCTCGTCTCATACCACCCAATGCAATTTGTATAGAAATAGCTCCTCATGGATTATTACAAGCAATTCTTAAAAGATCTTTACCCACTAATTGCATTAATGTTTCGTTAACTAGAAAAGGACATCCAGATAATTTTGAAGTACTATTAATAGCTTTAGGTAAGTTATTCAACGCTGGATTGCATCCTCAAATACAAAATCTGTATACAAAGGTGCAATATCCCGTTGGCAGAGGAACACCTTCAATATCTTCTCTCATTGAATGGGAACATACCACTGAATGGTGAGTTTATTATTAAAATTTCTTTATGACTATTATAAAATTATAAATTCATAAAATTATATTATAAACTTTTTATTCGAATTATTATTCAGTACACTCTCAGTGCACTTGGTTTCGGTACAAATCTATATTTGTAAAATGATAGCAGATAATTAAATTAAAAAGCTTCAAGTAACAGGGAAACATTATTTGGATTCAATTTTGAAATCTAACCGAAAAATTTGTGTAATTTAATTCTTTTAGGATTAAGTTAACAATTATTTATAAATTTTTAATGTAATATGAATTGTGAAACCATGTTTTTATTTATGAATGTATTGTCACTTATATTTAATTATATACAATCAGTAGATTTCTACTAATAATGTATACATACTATATTTATTAGGCCAATTATAAGCGTTATCAATGAAAGTGCGTATAAGATAATAGAATATACGAAAAAAATTGAAATTAATCTGAATGAGATGAATGGATGTAAACATGGAAATATTATCATTATCGATGGAAAATTATTAGTTCCAATATCATTTTGTTTAATTCATATTTGGATATTTTTTAAAAATTTAAAAAGCATTAAATACTCATTACAAGTTATTTTCGAAAAAATTAAAGTTCATAAAACGTTCGTAACAATTTCCACTAAAAATATTGTAACATTTACAATAAATTTATCAAAAGGTTTGTATACATTTATTACACTTTGTATAATTAAATTTTTTTAGCTTAATTTACCAATTTACCAATTTTAATTTATCATTTATTATTAGTAACGGGGTATTTTGAAGTAACTGAATTCGGTGTATTGCTTATATCTGGTATAATACAAGATACTAAAGATCTTAGTCAACATAAATTAAGCAATAGCATATTAAAATTTATTTACAAAAATGATTTTGAAATTAGTAAAGAAAATTTTTACACTGAAATGCAAATGCGTGGATTCCAATTCTCGGATGAATCAAAAGATATTATAAGAGCATCACTCAAACAATCCAGTGCTTTAATTAGATGGAATAGTAACTGGATAACATTTATTGATAATGCTTTACAGTTTTATGCATTCAGAAATGATCTACGTCAGATCCAGATACCATTGTTAATAGAAAAACTTCTTATTGATACTGAAGAACATGAAAATATAAATAAATATGAAAATGGTACGTCTTAGTTTCTTTGTGAACACAATTTGTTATAAATTATAAATAAGAAACATTTCATAACATTCTTAATTTGTATTTTAAGTTTTTTTTATATATATATTTCCGTTTTTGTAGATGTTTCATTTGTAAATTTTTTATAAAAGAATTAATAATTAATAAATAAACAATTAATTTTTATACTAAAATTTTACAAATTAGTATATTTAAGAATTTATAATTGAATTTCTTTTATTCCTAAAATTGAAATAATAGTTGTTTCAAATTCAAATAATTTTATTATCACATAAAATATGATTATTTCGTGAAATTGTATAATCTTATATAAATGTTAATATATTAAATAAAATATGTCTTTCAATATAAATAATTTAAGGGAAAAGAAGTAACAGAATATAAAAAAATTTAAGACAAATAATATTAAGTAATACTGGGAATATTACCTTTACAAAATAAACAGTATGTAGGAAATAAATTTTAAATAATGTGAACAATAACATATATATTCTATGTTATTATATTCACAAGTATTTGTAACAAATATAATAAATTTTAAATAAATAATAAAAAGATAAAATCTATTTACGTGATATCATTAAGAAATTATTGAATTTCATTAACTTTTCAGCAAAAAATTATATTGTTAAAACGTTTGTTCATTTTGCAATTTATATGATGTGTTTAACAATTATCAAATACTGTGAAAATTAAAGAATAGAGTGTGATGTTGATATATACAATTTGATCGCTAATATGAAAATACAAAAAAATAGCACCCATTTTTTTTATAAATATTATATAATATTACGAATATAACATTAGTATGAAAATTAAACCATTGATTTTAGGTGTAATAGCAGTAGTCGATACGAAATTAAATTATTTATCTGCAGGAGGATTAGAAATTCATGGACTTAAATTTTCTATTGTTGATAATCATTTAGAAAGATACAGATTATCCAATGATACTTTAAACATAGTACCAAACATTGACAAATCAAATTTATCTTTAGATAATATTTTGCGTGTTATATTACAACTCGTCATAGAAAATACGTTTTCTATAAAAATACAAACAATCCATTTAATTAAAGACAATAATCCACAAAATATTAAATCATTAAAAACGATAATGCAAGATGTACCTGAAGCCTCATTATTTACGATTGAAGAAATCAGTTATGAAAAAGCAACATTTAAGAAAGCTTTAACTATAATAGTAAATAATTTTAAAAATTATGATATTAATAAGATATCACATAACTTAGGAATAAATAAATTTCTTCTTATTTTTATATCTAAAGATCAAGAAGATAAATTTATTAAAATAGCTGTTACTGCAGGTCTAAAAATTATTCTTATAAGAAAATACTCTAACGAACTTATCGTTCTACTGCGAAAAAAACGATTTATTAACAATGTTCATGTCTTTAATGCTTCTAAAAATATTAATGAAACAATTAGCAAAATTAAAAACACAAATATTTTATCAAATAATGAACGAATAATAGTTATTATAAAATTAATAGATAAAATAAATATCGATGAATTTATAAATCAAATAAAAATGTTAAATTTAGAAAAAATTAGATTATTTATTATTGAAGGTTCTATTATATCCAATAATTTATTTAATAATAAATTTTATGAAAATCAACTAGAACTTGATTTACTTATAAATATTTTGAGTTCTAAAAAAGTATGGGCTACGTTACGACGAATAAAAGTTACTTTAAATCCTCGATTGTGTAAGATTTGGATAGCCAATCAATTTTATTCGTATTATTCACAAATTATAGCTTGGACAGAAGGTCCTGTCTTTGAAAATATTGAAAATATGATTAAAGTTGAATATTCAACTTTAAACTTTCAAGATATTCTTATAGCCAATGAAAATTTATATACGCATTCATCAGAAATGTCTGGAAAAGACCGAATAATAAAAAAGAGTTTCGGTTTCGAATTTTCAGGAGTAGATTCTAAGGATAATAGAGTTATGGGAGTTACTTATGGAAATTCAATGTCAAATTTTGTAAAAATGGACGAAAATTTGACATGGAACATACCAAATCACTGGAGTTTTGAAGATGCAGTAACAATTCCTTTGGCATATCTTATAGCATATTCATCTCTTTTCGAAAAAGCTCAAATTCAAACAGGAGAAACAATTTTGCTTAGTGATTCTACTTTTGGATTTGGTATAGCTATTCTTCATTTGGCTTATTATAACAAATATGATATCTTTGTAACGTACAAAACGGAGATTGAAAAGAATTTAATACAATCTGTGTCTCCAAATATACAAGCTAATCATTTATTTAAAACATCAAATAATCATTTTATTGATAATATTCTTATGCAAACTAAAGGTAAAGGTGTAGATATTATAATTTGTAATCAACATGAAATAAAAACACTAAACACGTTTTTTGCCTTGGCAAAACTACAGACCCGGGTTATATTGATAAGTGATTTTGACAATAATAAAATTCATGACAATATTGGAATGGAAACCTTTTTAAAAGAAACTGCATTCTATTCATTAGTGCCAAAAAAATTGCTTTTATCATGTTCAGAAAGAAAAATTTTTCTATCAAATATGATACAAGATGGTATTAATAAGGGTTGTGTAATACCATTACCAAGATCCGTTTATAATCGTAATTCACTAAATGAAGCTTTTAATACTTGTATTAATAATAAGCATATGAAAAAGGTGAGCTTATAAATTTAGAGCTTATAAACAATTATAATTGTTTTAAAATATAAAAACATACATATAATCATTTTAAAATAAAATACATTATTGTTGTTTGCTATACTTAATTTCTTCACTTTCATAGAAATTTAGAACAATAGAAATACAAATTAAATGTCTATTATTATTTTTTTTTATATAATTTCATAATTCATTTTAAATATTATTTTAGCTTTGTTTCTTTTTAAATGAATACAAAATTTAACTTGCTATAACTTATTACTCATTTTAATATGTTTTTATATTAAGTATTTTGGTTAGTTTTATTTTAAATATAATTGAAAAAAGAATATAAATTTAATTGAAATTATAAATTTATATTTTTTAAATGCGTAGATTGTTGTTAAAGTTCAACCTGAGCAATTAATAAAAAATAAGGCAATGGCTATTCCTCGACTATATTGTTCCAATAAAAAAATTTATTTGATTATCGATGGATTCACAATATTTGGTCTGGAATTAATAGATTGGTTAATTACGAGAGGTGCTAAGCATTTTCTGATTACATCTACAATAACAAAAGTCGATGATTATAAAAATCCACGTTTAAATCTTTGGAAAAGTTATGGAATACAATTTTATTTCCATAAGAATACAGATCTATCACAGACACTAAATATGAAGGCATTATTAAAAGAAGCTTTGTCTTATGGACTTATCGAGGCGATTTTCGATTTGCAACGAATGAATAAGGAATCACCTAATACATTTAACTTTATAAATTCAACTACCAAAATTTTAGATGCAGAATCTCGCTCATCTTGCAGTGAGTTAAAATTATTTATTGTTTGTTCAATAACAGTAAATTTAGGATGTATATCAAATAAAAAATTGGAACAACTTCATAATCTGTATATTTCACAAGATCAAGTAGTAGAAGAATTATTAAGAAAACGGAAGCAAGATGGCTTGCCTGGACAAATGATTAAATGGGGTTTAATGGATTCTATGCATGAATATAGTAATATCCTAAATAAAAATGTAGTTTTGCCTCCTTTAACAAAGTATATAGAAAAATTAGATGAAATTTTGGGTGCAGATGAAAATGTTGTTGAAGTTTCTTATACAGTTCCGCTGACTGACGAGGTAAATTTACAATAAAATCATAATGTAAATATGACTAAATTTGAAAAATTTTAATTACAAACGAAATAAACTACTATATACTCGTTATTTTAAATTATAACAAAACACTTTTTATAAGAAAAACTTCACTTTATAATAAATCTTTTTAAATAAATAATAATATAATTAAAAATGTTATTTCTTAAATTCTTTTAATTTATATTTAAAATAGTTTATTCAATTTATAAAATTTAAGTAATTTTATTAGTTTTGCATTAGTTAATAATATTCTTAATATAGTCACTTATGTAAAATACAATAAATAATTTTAATTACATTATTTTATAGATTGAAGAGGATTATGACGAAATTAAAAATACTTATTTAGTAGATCCTGTAGAAGCAGAATCCCAAAATTTTACTGCAAAGCTTTATGGGCCATCTAATACACGTTCATATTTATAAACTATTCATTTTATAATATTTGTAATTTGTAATAATTTTCTTTGTGGAATATAGTTTGATAATAATAATAATAATAATCGAAATAAGAATATCAACAAAAATACCAATAATACCAATAACTATATAAAAATAAAAATAAATATAAGAAAAATAATAATAATAACAATAACAGTAACAATAACAATAAGAATTTAAAGCAATGTTCAATTATGTTAATCTATAATTCAATGCAGTAATAACATTTATTTCATTGATTGTGTTGAAATACTATTGAAATATTAAAAAAATAATTCATTTAAGAAGTAATTTTATGTAAATTGTAATATTATATTTCAATAACAGTTTTAAAGATAAGTATTGAATAAAAGAGTTAAATACTTCAATATAGTTTAAACTTTTTGCTGCCAAATAAATTTGTCTAAGAAATTATAATAAATTGTAATAATTTACAGTACTGAATTTTATTATGTTCATATAATTATTTAAAAAATTGCATTTCCGACAGTTTACCAATCGCAATTGTAACTCTTTAAAACCGTATTTTTTTCATTTATATCTTATACACTGTTTTTATATCGAAAATTATTTATTTACAGTTTGTTCTTAATTTAATTTTTGTAGTAAAATATAAATCAATATTCTTTATTTAAATTCTTAAGAAAATAAAATTTTGTATTCAAGTTCACTTATAAACTGTAATAAATTAGTATAAAACAGTTAACATTTATGTGAAGTTTTAATAAATATTATTTCTATAGATATTGTCTGTTGCTTTCTAAATTAATTATTATCATATTTATTAATTTATAATTTATAACCCATGTTTTATTAAATATAAACAAAAATGATGTTGCAAATTGCAAGAAATATAACTATGTTTAAGATTAATACTTCATCTGTTTAGAAAAAAAAACCTTTGCGTACTTGTTATAAAACTTACGTTATCTCTCGAAATACAGTAAATCAATTTTGTAATAAATTCTTATTTAACATTATATATATATAATAGCATTAGCATACAGTTTTTTTTTATTTCTATTGTCATAATTTTAGTTTTTGTACATTTATATTACTATTTTTACTAACGTATTTCAATTGTCTATTTTTACATAAAATAAATGGATAGCACAACTATACAGAATAATTTGTGTAATTATATTAAAATGTCTAAACTATATCTCTATGAAATATTAATGCAAATTGCATTTAATAGAATATATTTATTTCAGTGATATTTTTAATATTTTGCTTTACTAAATTTATTTGGACTTTGATGAATAGCATTTGATTCGCTAAATATTTTTTACTATTATTCTAAATAGTATCTATTCTTAAATTTTTAAATGATTTAAAGTTCATTTATTATATATATTAATTATATTAATAAGAAATTTATAAAGTAATTAATTTTAACATAAATATTTCATAACATATTCACTTAACTCAAATATTAATATCAATATTTGATGTGTTTATTATTAAAATAAAAAACGCGTAGTAAAGATAAAAATTAACTATCTTTAACTCTTTTAATCAAGACAATAAACTTCTGGCAATTTATAAAGAACGAAAATATTGAGAAAATTTCGAATATATTATTATAACTAAATTATTATTGACACTATTTGTTCGGAATTGGAGCATTTTCCAAAACTTTGACTTTCGGAGAAAGTTTGTAACTAAGTTAGCTGTTGTCAGATATTTAAAGGAAACACATCACACTACGGCGCTCGTAATTAAGACATTCAGCCAGAGTTAACAAATATAAGCTAGTCAATCAGTAACGCTAAAAGAGTGAAGCCATTATAAGTAATACACGTTAAATTTTTAAGTGTGCAACAATTAACAAGTAGTCAAGGCTGCTGACTGCATTACAAGAACGTACACAACTACAAGAATCGCAATATCAAGGCATTCATTGCAGGATCAAGCAAGGCAAGTGCATTGCTGTGAGCACCATTACGCATGTAATACAGAAATAACAAAAGTCCAACAAAGCCTTTATAATAGTGCGCATCTAGCACAAGGCCAACAAGACCTTTCTAAGAATAGTGTGTCTAGCATAAGGTCAACGACGTTCTTCCAAGAATAGTGCATCTAGCACAAGTCCAACAAGGCCTCTCCAGTGAGGAGACTTCAACAAGCTACCATCACGTGACACTACACGAAGAAGTACCATAGATTTACGACCGCTTACTTCAGAGTGTAATAATTTACCACCAATCATACTACATCAAGAGGATCTGGAGATTTACGACAACCTACCTCTGCATGAAGTAAATGTTAATGCCATGCGCAACAACCACGTAACTGCAAGATCACAACGATTCTCATCACCAACTTATTATCATTATTGTAGTTTGTAAAGTAAAAGGCAATAAACAGCTCGAAAAGCAAACGTGTTAAATATTGAATGAATACGCTATCCCTTCCACTTACCCGCACTTTTTCTCCCACCAGAAAACTGGTGGCCATAGTCTAATCCAATCATCTTGATCCCTAGACCCCCTGATGACTAGAATTTTAAACATTTTGGTCCTTCGAGCCGGATATGTGGAAGTTAGTGCATTTCTTCAGTACCCATACAACAAGAAGGACGTGCCACTACACCCTCAGATCATATACTATCGCAACACTATAATTCTATCATAAAGACACAGGGTATCTGCATCACAACGCAAAAAAATCTCCTCAACACTGTAAGTATTCCGATGTTGTTTTTCTACCATGCTACATCAATTTTAAGAAAATGCCAAACCACGAAAAGAAGAAAACAAAGGAAACAAATGAAACTAAAAATGCTTAAGTGACTGTCAATCAAGAAAGGGTAAAACGCATAACCCGCAGTGTTAGTAAGGAGCGATTAACCACTGAACACACGCGCATGGCTCAAGGACAGTGGAATCATATTTTAGCAATAAAGGATCTAACTGGAAGGCTCCTGGTATCTCATTTCAAGACAACCATTAAAGAAGTTCTATGCACAAGGGAACTGATAGACAACTTACAACAGATATTTAACAAGGAAAAAAAGAAGTATTATTCCTCAGGGAAAATAACCATCACACGTCCGAAGAAATTTCGCTTATGATGGGGTAATTGAGTCTTCTCGATGTTCCAATTCCGAAATTTTCAGGCGATTATTTAGCATAGCCCATGTTCTGGGATCTATTGCTACAACTGATAGAAGACGAGGAAGAAAAGTACCCATCCATTGTTCATAGCAGATATGTCGATGATATCTTTGGAGGTGCGGACACGCCGCAACATCTGAAATCGCACCACAACAGTAGAGCCTCTGCATGGCGAGCGGTATCCTATGGATTATCCCATGGTTTTTATCTCATGAGTAAAATGGCACTCAGTTCATAGAAATGTTCTCACCGCTGTCAATGCGGACAGGAAACAGAAATTATCAATTGCATTTGACGATTGCATAACCAAAATTCTCAGAATACACTTGAATCCTCGAGAGGTTATATTCACCTTCTCAACAACAGTCTCTATTGAAAATGATCGTTTCACTAAAAGCTCGATATTATCAGACATTGCAAGAATCTTTGATCACTAGGAAGAATCACTAGGTCTTGTGTTGTCAGTAGTGGTTAAGGCAAAACAAGAATTTTGGTTACATACACTCAATGTGGGTTGGCCCACTACCGTATAAGATCGCTGCTCAGTGGCGCACCATTGGAAGCGATCTTTCAGAGTTGAAAAAGATCGTGATACGTCGATGGTTTAACACAGAAAGCACATCGACAGTAGAATTAATTGGCAATGACTGCAGTCATATACCTTGCCGTCCACAATCCAAATGATCCTAAGGTTGTCTTTATGTATTCCAAGACTAAGGTAGCTCCGCTTAAGCGGCTCACCATTTCAAGGTTGGATCGGCTCTACTGCTGTCAAAACTTATGCTGTACGTCCGGACCACACTGAACATGAAGGTAAGGACAACATACTTGTGGACGGATTCTCGTGTAACACTCACATGGATCAAGTCTCATGCATCGTGCTGGAAGGACTTTGTCAGAAACAGGGTCACTCAAATTCAGGAGATTACTCCAAACGCGCAATTGAAATACGTTCCGGGTACCTCAAATCCTGCCGACTGCGCATCCCGAGCCGTAACAACTACTCAGCTCCAAGATCACGCACTATGGTGGACAGGAGCACCATGGATACTTTCACGAGACTCATGGCGAACTCAGTTAACACAGAGCGACGAGATATGCTATCAAGAAGCTCGTCCCAACATCTCATTAGTAGCAGCTCATAAGTTGATCTATCACTAGGACATTATTTCCAATTACTCAACTCTCAATAAGTTATTGAGGTTCAGTGTTCTATGTATCAGATTTCTTGCATGTTTGAGGAGAAATCATGAATCGTCTCTAACCCAATCAAATACCTCAACGGGACTTGGAAATTTCAAGGATTTTTTTGATAAAGGCAACTCAAACTGCCAACTTTTGTCACGAACTCAAAATCCTGCTATCAAAATTGGAGAAAGACTAATGAGAGCGTCATTAGTACCAGACCATAAGTACCCGGCTATTCTGCCACGACATTCACATTTATCAAGTCTCATAAAAGCTCATGCGCATCTTAAAACTTTCCCCGGAGGCACCCAAATCACCCTGGCATACACCCGACAACAATATTGAATTCTTGGTGGAAGGATTTCAGTAAAATCTCATACTTTACGATACATTATATGTGCTCTGCAAAGAGGGGTCCATGCTCATCAATTGATGGGTCCACAACCTCTTTCGCAAGTCACGCCACCAAGACCTTTCACCAATACGGGCGCTGACTACGTCGGCCCCTTAACCAAAAAATCTGAAAGGGGCGAGGAGCAAAAACCCATAAGGTATGGATTTGTGCTTTTGTATCCTTTGCCACATCTGCTGCACATCTCCAGATGGTTAGCGACTATACAACAGAAGGATTGATCGCGGCATATCGAAGATTCTCCGCTCGTAGAGGTATCCTCCATACATTGTACTCAGATTGTGGTACATACAATCTTCGTT